GGCATCGAAATTAATTGTCCTTGATGAGATCTAATTGTTGCTATTTTCGTGGTTCGTGGTCTTCTCTGCCTTTGACATTAGTTAAAAGTGTTGGTCTGGTCCCGTTTCTATCAGCAACGTCAGGTTTAATATTGTTTTCTACGATTTTAATGGCCTTAGCTTCTGACTTGAATTTTATTTATTCTCTTACTGTAATTTTAACTATACTTTTGACTCTCCTTTAGAGTCCTGATGATGGTTTGAATGTCGACAGTGCTCGAAAATATTTAACTTTACACACTTTAAATACGTCTTCCATTATTTCACCTCAACCCTTGTTCAAAACATCTACTCTGGAGAAAATTAAGGTATATAAACTAAAAACATTTTAAGATTTAAAGACCAAAAAAATTCCAAGAAGAAAAATCATCTATCCATCTTCTTTTTCTTGTTCTGATTTCTCTGTTTCTTTCTGTCCTCGTCCCTATTAGAAGTATAAGGGCTCTTTGGACTCTATTTACTATATTTCTTTAATATTCTCTCTAGTTTTTTTCTTTTTGTTACTAACAACTTGATATTTCTCTACTTCTTCTTTAATTGTCCTAATTTAATTGACCAAAAAGGAAGATGATCCATCTATTTCTTTTTCTTGTTCTGATTTTGCTTTAGTTCTTCCCTTTTGAGTGTAAGACTGTTTAGATTCAAATTACTATATTTTTGCTTGTTATTTATCTACTGCTTGTATAATTGTCCTCTGTTCAGGATTTTCTCGGTATTCTTTTTGATTCTGTATTATCGATTTTGTCTCAAACTCTTTAAGTATTCTGTTGATCCTGGATCCCACTCTACTTGGTTCTTTATTATATTTATAAGTTCCATCTTTAAATTGGCTTTAAATATTTTATTTCATATCTTTCCTTATGTTTCTCAGAATCTCATTTCTATAGTGTTAATTATTATTTTTTTATTTTCTTTAAGCGTCCATGTAGGTATATACAAAAATGTTTCAACCATTTGAAAAGAAAATAGATAACCCAATGACCTGATGATGAGTTTGTAAGCCAATTTTAAAGATTTTTCTTTATTTTTAGTTTATTAGAGTATATTTTTGCACCTGAGTCTCCGCCCTTGACGGTCAGTTCCTTTGGACATTCTACATGGGCTCGTCACGTGTGTACGAGTTGTGTTCTGTGTGTTCACCGGATCAGATCACTTGATCATGCATTATTCAACCGTCATTTATGTTCCGCTGCCTCAAAGTCTTGCATGAAAATGTCGGTTTTGATTTTACAAATGCGTATCTGCTTCTAGAATTCATAGAAGAGACTAATAGAGAAATTGTTTATTAGCCAACCGATTTACGGGTATATGAACAATGACATAACTATTATCATACGTAGTGGTTCTAAATATATTTTGAAATAAAAAGAAAAAATTATTCTTCTTAGTAAAAAAATATAATATCGATAGGATGATTTTGATGAAATTTTCGGAAAAATAATTCCAGTTTTATATTTTCTAGTTTTGCTATTATACAAGAAAAAAAGTAGAAATGACAGTACCCAGTAACTGTTTTAAAAGTGACAAGCAAAATGGAAGTGCCATTAAAACCAAGTTTGTTAAATTAGCAATTGGCTTGGTTCAGATTTTGGCTGTTTGAAAAAATTTTGAATTAACCAGTAAATTAGTAATTAGTACTAAAATAAATATTTATTTATTATTCCACTCATACAAAATTGTTTTCGATAATTACAGAGACAAACCATCAGTTTCCAATTCTTTTTTCAAATGAAATATAATTTTTCTAATAAATATATTTTTTATAATTATTAAGTATACATTCTCATCACCCACCTATTCATACATCATAAATCGTTTATAAACTTATTTAACGTAGAAAAGGCGTTATAACTATTCTGCTGGAAATATCTAATTATATGGTTTACATTTTCGTTAAATAATTTGGTGTGAACATGAAAAATTGTGTAACATTAAATAATATTTCATTATAAACGTAATTACGATGATATATGACTTAGAATAACGGTTCAACATTCAAAATAGATGACCCGATATAGATACTTTTTTTTTGAAATCTTAGATTAAAGAAATAGGTAATGATACCCAGATCTTTATTTGATAATGCACTCTATACATTCTCATTAAAAAAATACTATTAATTCATTCTTAATTATAATATCGTTAGTAGTTTTGGTAATATACTTCAAAACATTAATGATGAATATTACATTTGAATTTTTTTAGGAAGCTCCTTGTACCTTTGATACAAACTATAATAATTTTGATTCCTTAATAGCTTTAAAATGTTTATCCAGTCTCGACCACAAATCCCTGCACAAATCAGTCCAAATCTCCAAGGAAATGATTATTAAAAAATCTAAGTTAGTTCCCGAATTATTGTTAGGCATATGGACATACAGGACAATATTTTTCAAAGGAACCAAAGTGCTTTAAATGTACAGGGAAACACAAAACAATGCAGTGTCATAAACCCAAAAATCTCTTTTGTAGAGAACGCCACCCAACTTATTACCGCGGGTGCATTATTGTCAAACAATTTCAAAGAATAAAAAACAAGCAAACAAAAAAGCTAAACTTGTCTCTGTGATTCCATCGGGATAACAAGCAATATATTAATAATAAAAATGAGACATTAAAAGGAAAAAAAAAACACAAAAAAGTAGCTAAAGGAAACATGAGGAAAGCCAAGTGTACCTATTTTAGCAAAATTGTACCATATTTGTGACGTTGTTATGAAACTGTAATTTTTTTTACGAAATATATTCTACTTCTAAAATATAAAAAATATTGATATAACGTTTCAAAGAATCTTACAGAAACTAATGTTTATTTTCGGGTTTTCAAAATTTTTTCATCTTCTGCCCTCTACCGATGTTTGAAAAAATAAAAAAAAATAAAATATCCAAAGCCTGGTAGAGGGCAGAAGATGAAAAAATTTTGAAAAACCGAAAATAAACATTAGTTTTGTAATACCAATTGGCAACTTTTGCGCCAAATTCCAAAACGATTTTCGAAACTTAGATTTTTTGCCTTATTTATTAATTTATATTTCTTTTTTTATTAATATTGATACTGAGAGTTAACGCTACAGCAAACAGAGCAGTTCTTCGCTTGTTTAAACAATATTAGATTTATACATGAAACATAAATATTGAATATTCAGTATTGTTTAAACAACCTAGAACTCACCACGGGGAGGTAACTGCTCGACGACTTCCATCCCTCCCTCATCCATTTCGATTATTTATTGTTTATAGTCTTTTTTTGAGTCAAATTTTGGCATAAGTTTACGCGAATCTATTTTTGCTTTAATAAAACTGTCTCTTTTTTGTGACTCAACAACTGATAAAAAAGCTTCTGTAACAAGTTTCACACATCTATCTACTGATTGGGTGTGACAGGGAAATGCAGCGATGTCGATGATTTTTTTCAGGAGAACCGGAAATAATATTTTTTAAATCATCCACTTCTAAAGTTTGAAGCAATGGGGGACAAGTTATTTTATTTTTTTGCCAATCAATCAGATCAACATAGTCATCTGCGTCAAAATTAATTTGTGGAATAATAAAAGGTCTGACATTGGTTGAACTATTATTGCCCTTAGTTTTTGAATTACAGGGTCTATAACACTTTTCAAATCTTGCTCTAGATACCGCCTACGTTTTATCGTTTGTAAAACATGCTTTGCACCATTTACACGTGATGAGTTGCATTTAATTCGAAACCACAAAGGACTATAAACCTTGACAATAAATTTGGTCAGTTCCTTTAATTCTGAGGTTGGATTTATGGTATTTACATAAAGACGTAATATGCGATTGGATTCGGTTGTATAAATCCACGGAGCACTTCCCTGTAGAAACTGCAACACAAATTTCAAACAGATATTTTTGATCTGCACTTAAGTCAAGGAAATCTACTTCTGGTAACTCACAGTCAATAATGTTAAAGTTTACAACTGGCATATTTTCGCACTGCACTATTTACTTTTCTATAATTCCTGCAAAAGCTCTTGGACCCATAGTTTGACCGTCCAGCTTCTAAAAAAGATGCCTTAAAGGTAATTCACTAGCGTGAAGCTGGCAAACAAATCTTTGTAAAGGGCGTCCTAATTTTAATTTTAGTTGAGAAATTGCACCATTTTTTTCCCGTATTCACCACGGTTCCGTCACATCCTACTGCCACTAGTTCTTCTAGATTATATCCATTACTTTCTATGTTATGTTATGTTGAGAATGGGGTGTTAATACACTGCGACCCAAAAGATCTATTGTGCCCCCTTCTATCGCCACTGCACTAAGGAAATGTCTCAATGCCTATAGCGACCCTTCCAATCCTATTTTCTCAAGGAAGTGTAGGATTTGAAGTGGCTTCAAGTTAGGTAAATCTCCCTCTTCCATTTGATATCCTCCTAGATATAGTGCCCTTGGATTCTGGTGTGCTACACATTCAGTTAGGATGTGAATGGAGGTTTTTTCCTCCTCCTCACAGAATCTGCACTCACTATCCTCTACTACTCTCAGTTTACTTAGGTGTCCTTTTAGTCGGCAATGCCCGGTAAGGATCCTTGTTACAATACGTAGCCTGTTCTTGCTTAGGCAGATGCAAGCTTTCGATCTTTTCTGGTTATATTCACCCAGAAGTATCTTGGCCTGTCTCAGCCCCAAGAGATTGTTCCAATTATCGGTTCCTCTACTACCCAATTCTTTTTTAATCTCTCCTAATATTACTTTCTAAGAAGTTGACAATACTTTGACGAATGCTTAGAGCCGATCCAAAAAGGAGTCTGTGTGACCTAAAAATGTAGAGCCCGGCTCTTGAACTAAAGAAATGTGTTCTTCGAGTATGGTTTTTCTGTGGTACTTGCCTTCGATATTTTTGATTACGAAGGTTTTATCTTTCCTTCCGTCAAAGTATATGGCTTTCAAAGTTTTGCGAAAAACTTTTTTTTGATTGCTCTCTTGCTTTTCTCAGCTTACTTCTGTTTATTACGTTTTTTGTATTGACATCGGAAACAATTCCAAGGTCATGTAGCACTGAAGTTACCACTGCTGCTGCAGATCTATCCGATAATCCATAGCGGTCACAAACTTTGGCCAAGGTGGGAAGTTTGACGTAATTTTGTGTACACTGCATATCTGTATTGATACTGTCATAGGAAGTGGAAGGCAATTCATGATCTATCTTGATATCAGTTTCTGGCTTTCGCTTTCTTGATAAATTAATGTTGCTTGCATGTTGGACGGATTGTTCTAGTTCTTTTCTTTGCATAAATTTGTCCATTCTGCTGCCCTTATTTATCAGCTTTGAGGTTTCCTTTACATCAATGTCTCCAATAATCATTTTTTTAGGCCCCTTCTGATCTAGTAAAAATCCCATTCATTTTTAGGTATCTTTTTTTCCTTATCGCAAGAACATTGTTCAAAAATGTCGCATTTGCAAGCCACTGTGTTTAGGGCAAAAAATGTTATAAATTAATTTTATTATACATAATATATCTTAAAATCACATGGCTCTACCCTATTGAATATAGAGTGATATTACTTATGAATTACCATAAACCCTTAATCTCTTATTTTGTGCTTTTAATTAAATCATGTTTGACGCATATTTTTGGCTTTTTTATATTGCACTTTGTGACCAAAAATTGTGATTTTTATATTGTAGTTTTGTGCTAATCGTTTCTTAGTATTGGCAATAATGAACCTAAGTTTATGAAGTTTTTCAACCCTAGAAAGTTGGGTTAGAATAAAATTGCTAATTAATCTTACTAATCAGATTGTAATATGTGTAAAAAATGCATTAATTGGTACATTTAATAATAATAAGAAATTTTAAAACTTTTATTGACATCTCAAAAATGCTCTAAAATATTCGAAAAGAAAACGAACATTTATTATGTATTGGGTGATATTCCCCTAGTTTTCTATTTCTAATACATTTAGTTATTTATGTACATCCATCTTGAATACACTACCGTTTATTATTTTAAATTTGTTGACCATATATCATTTTCAGTTATAGATTATGAACGTGAAGGTATAGTTTTAAAGCAATAAAAATAATCAGCATTAACAATGATAATAAGAACCTTTTCAGGAAGGAATAAATTATAATAATCAAGACGCTGCTGCTGTACCTAGGTACTCTTAGCCCATCTAAGTCTAGGTACTAGTCGTAAAATAGTAATTCAAAATAATAACGTAATGTTTTGCTACAAAGTTCTAGTAATAAAACTAAAGGCGAAGAAATTAAACGGTATAAAAATATTGTAATTCAAAAATTCTTTCTTTATAATCCATACGTTCCGAAATCTAATTTTCAACTCAATTGTGGTTTGCCACATAATTTAACAAATAATTCCGGTGGTCCACACGAAGTGTATGAAAAAAATCAACCAAGTGAAACGAGATACTGGTCACAGTGACGTGCCAAAGGGATATTTGAGGTGATGCAAAAAATTACTTTTTGTGTACTATGTGATAAGGAGAAAAATGTAGGGTTAAGATTACTTAAGCTATAATAATGGGGCATGTTCAAAAATTTTTCAATTTTTTTATGAATAATACAGTTCAAAATAAAGCTACATTCAAATTTTTTGTATCTATTAATTTGCCCGAGTTATTAATTTTTTAAAATTTATGACGCTACCGGGAATAGACCAATAGGAACTAGCGATACAACGTTGCCAGTTAGAAGGTATACGGAAAGTAATATACGTTTGTTTGTGTTCACCGTCGAATTTTTAGACAATATAAAATATCAAATGTTTTTAAAAGTACCTATTATTTATGTTTAAACTTTCACCATATTTATAGTATCATTGTTTTAAAAAACGACAACTAATAAACAAGAAAATGGCAATGCGACAGCACTGCATGTGTCACTCAATCAAAAATTTGTGTGTTCTGTTAATTGATAATTATTTAATTTAGATGTTTTTATAATTATTATGAGTTCGAAAAAAATGTTTTCTCCCAAGATGTGATAATGATTCACGTTTTACATTCATTATTAACATTACTCCATAACTAGGTCAGTTTCGTTTGTGTATGTAGTGTAAATATTTTTTAATCGCGAATGTTTAAAAAATCAACAATGATTGCTAAACGTAATGTTTAAGAACAAAAATAAAAATATTAATGTGCCATTAGAAATAGTTTTACAATGTGTAGAAAAAAATAATAAAACAGAATCGACACCTGCCAAAGTGCTTTTGGAGCAAAAAAAAACAGGACCTGCTTCAAGTAACTCAAACAAATAATATGGAAACAATGGAAGTGGGAGAAAATCTAGCCCAACAATATCAGGCCTTATTTCATGAAAATCAAGCTAGAAGTCAGAATGAACAGGCATTGTACAATGCTTGGATACAGGAAAAAGCTGAAAAACACCAAATAGAAAGTGCATTGCAACAAATGCAAAACAATATGGAAAATATGCAAACACAAATTAATATTTTAAACAAAGGAAAATCTGAAATTCCAACGAATTATGAAACTGATGAAGAAGAACTGACAAAAGACATCGGCGATCAAATTAACAAAGAAGTAGAATGGATAACAGCGGAAAGCAGAAACAGAAGAAAAAAACGAAAAGCCAACTCCTCTCCAGAAACATCTCCTGGCCAACCTGGAGGTAGCAAAAATCAAGAACAAGAGAAAGAAACAGTCTAAAAAACAGTGAAATTTCCCCCGATAATAGCAAGCAACATCAATAAGTATCAAGAATTGCACCATACACTGGCAGAAAATAATATTTCCTTTCAAGCCACAGCTCTAAGCAATAACCAGTTTAAAATTAATACTAAACAAGAAGAAGACTTCAAAAATGTCATATCAACCTTGAATACCAAAGAAATAAATTGGCATTCCTATGAAATTAAACAGAACAGAGACAATAAAGTAATGGATAGAGGTCTACCATCTACATCTTAACCAGAAGATATTGTTGAAGACTTGCAAAGTCAAGGATTAAAATGTAAAGAAGCTGTCAATATAATAAAAAAGGAAATAGAATTAACCGAGAATAACACTTGTAAACTAAATAAAAAGCCAACTGCCGCTATTCATGCTATCATTCGGAAATATTGAAGATATTAAGAAAATCTACGAAATCAAAGCAATACTTAATCTAAGAGTTAGAATATAAGAGTATTTGGACATTCGCACAACTTTTGCAAAAGAGAATCAAGATGCGTAAAGTGCGTAGGAAAACATCATACAAAGGATTGTGTAAAAAGTCCAGAACAACAACCCAAGTGTATAATCTGCCTAATGGAACATCCTGCTAACTACAGAGGATGTGAGGTAGCTAAAACCTTTCAGATAAGGAAGGATAACACCACTAAATCTAAAATAATCACGAGGCAGAAAAGACCCATAAACTCTTTTCCTACTATCAGAAATGAAATAACATATTCTCTGGTAATAAACTCACAGCAGCAACCAATTCAAAGGTCACAACTAGCCATGAATCTCAACAAATTGCACAGCATACTGCACAGTCAACCAGCTTAGTAAAAAGTACTGCTCATGAATTATTATTATCCTTAATAACCATAATAGATTCACTTTCTGACAGGCTCCAGAAGCTAGAAGAATTAAACAAACCCCAAACATATAACAAAACCACCAATGGACAAAAGAGATATTAGAATAGCCACTTGGAATGCCAATGGTATTCTCCAAAAATAAACCGATAACTAAGTTTTCTTGGACGTACAAAAAATAGATATGTCTGATTTCTGAGATCCGCCTTACAACAGAGTCATACATTAAATTCAGAGGATATACCTTCTATCACACTATCCATCCATCAAATGCAGCAAGAGGAGGAAGTGCGTTAATTATTAAAAATAACATTTCCCACTATGAGGAACTAGGCATCCAAGAACCAGAAAATCAGGTAACCATTAGCACCAATAACATTAAGGGGGCAAAATTACAATAGCTGCAATCTATTGCCCATCAAGATACAACCAGAAAAAAGTAAATTATCTCAATGTACTCAAAAAACTAGGTAACAAATTTATAATCGGCGGAGATTACAACTTCAAACACACAAACTGGGGTTCAAGATTAACCACAGTCAAAGGAAAAGAATTGCACCGAGCTTCATCAGAACTTGGTTGTATATACCAGTCTTCTGAAAAACCCATCTATTGGCCCACCGACCCAAATAAGATAAGAACTATACGCAAGTAGAAGAAAACTTTGATATAGATTCAGACTATTCTGCAGTAATCCTTACTCTAAGTGATAATGTTATTCAAAAAGAAGCCAAACCGACCCTAGCAAATCGGAAAACTAATTGGAAAGGTTTTCAAGAAGACTTAATAAATACTATTCAACTGACCATAACACTAAAAACGAAAACTCAGCTAGATGAAGAACTGGAAAGGTTTATAGTTGAAATCCAGCAAGCTGCATGGAGGAACACACCAAAAGTGAGAAGATTAACAGCTGGAAAAACTATCCTCTCGAGATAAGAGAACTGGTAGCAGAAAAAAGAAAACTAAGAAAGAAATGGCAGATGACAAGATCACCAGAAAATAAAAATATATTAAATAGGGCTACCTAAAGACTAAGAAGAGAAATCCTAAATCACAAAAAAGAATCCTTTAACAGATACCTAGTAGGGCTAACAGATGATAAAAAACTGATTATTCACTCTGGAAGACAACTAAAAAGATGAAAAATTCGTGTAAACACTGTCCTCCAATCAGAATAGCAGATAACAAATGGGCAAGAGACAATCAACAAAAAGCTGATATTTTCGCTAACCACCTACAAAAGACTTTACAATTAGATGAAACCATCCATAATATGGAACATCTTGAAATTAAGCTAGTTACTCCCAATGAAGTTATGAAAGAAATTCAGTCAAACATCAACTCACAGGAAGTCCCAGGATATGACCTTATTACTGGAGAAATATTAAAGAAACTACCACGGAAGGCTATTGTTAAATTGACATACCTCATAAATGCAGCATTTTGCCTTAAATACATACCTGATGCGTGGAAAATGGCTATTGACCTATATCATTGTTACCGATAATATCTAAGTTATTTGAAAAACAACTACTAAAATGACTAAAGCCAATAATTGAAAATAAAAAGCTGATCCATTCGCACCAATTTGGATTTAGAAACAAACACTCGACACTACAAGTACACAGGATAACCGATATCATCGAAAAAGCTTATGAAGAAAAATATATATGCTCAGCTATATTTCTTGACGTAGCCCAAGCATTTGACAAGGTTTGGCACGCTGGTCTAATACAGAAACTTGAAAAAATGCCCCCGAGACAATATGTCGACATTCTACAATCATATCTAACTGGAAAAATGTTTAGAGTAAAGCAAGACGAGG